TGCCACAGTCGAGCGCTTCCGCTGCTTCCGGTCGTGCGTATGTGGGGTAAAGCAGCGCTGTTTTATCATACTAGATACATTTGAAAGTTCTGTTATAATGCTACTCTGTGCGGTCGTCACCGGTCTATTAAAACACACAATGTATTAAAGCGTCTTTGGTGTTTCCATGTTTTCTACAAAACAAAACCGGAAATCGAGAGGTTATGACGTCATTGGCAGGCGACACAATGACACTATAGACACGGTCCGTGTCACTAGTTAAAATTGCTTATTTCTCTAGATTTAAACATTCTTCGAAACATTTGGGATAATGTAAGTACACAAGTCAGCAAAATATATAACACTGTTCTAGTGGTTTTTGGATATTTTAATAAAAAAATCGTACATATTGTGCCTTTTAGGCTCGCTCACATGGAACGCAGCTTGCTGTAAACCTGCGTGGCTCACGTTTGAACACAAGACTCTCCAGATGTAGGGCTGAACGGGAAAGCTACCAATGTGTCTGTGCAGTAACTAATGATGAACGCGCAGTTTGCAGAGAAGCATTTCAGTTGCTCACGGTGGACTGACTGACTTAAAGGGACAGTTCACCCAAAAATGACAATTCTGTCATCGTTTACACACCCACAATTTGTTCCAAACCTGTAATAATTTCTTTCTTCTGTTGAACATAAAAGAAGATACTTTGAAGAACGTGGGTAACCAAACAGTGTCTGGTCCCAATGACTCCAATAGTAGGCTATATTTATTCCTCTATGGAAGTTACTGGGGACCTGCAGCTGTTTAGATACCCACATTCTTCAGAGTAGCCTATCTTCCTTTGTGTTCAACAGAAGAAAGAACTTTATGCAGGTTCAGAACAACTTGGGTAAATTATGACAGAATGTTTATTTTTGGGTGAACCATATTTAAAGTGACAAACACATCCGTGCTTCTAAAGGTATCGGCCTATTGTTTTATTCAAATTTATTTGGATAGTCTGTTAATATTACATACATTATCTGTGCTTGGTAGACATTATTGATGAATTAATAGATTATACTTAATGTTAGGCCCTATTTATTAATTTATCATTTATATTAATAAATCATGATATTTGTCATATACAATTTGGCATTTAAAAAAGTTTAAAAAGTGCTAAATTATTTAGATAAAAATGTAACAAATAATTACATCATGTAGTCCTAATTTAAGCAAATGAATAAAGAAAACTAGAAATTCTTCATCCCATCCAGGTAACAGCTGCAGAACTGTCAAAAAAGACTAATAATAAATAATAATGATGAATAAAATAATTAAATGAAAAAATATCAATATAAATGTGTTCTGCTGCAAGTTGAGATGTTTTCTCGTGGTTTATTGTTGAGCTGTTAGTTGCTCACGGGGTGTGTGTGTGTGTGGGGCGGGTGAATGGGCTGGCTGAAGGCTGAATGACCCTCTAGTGAGGAGTGCAGAGAGGCCCGCGGACAGCTGCTCGTCCCATGGAGCTGCGCGGACTCTCGCCCCGCGCCAGGTTATTGATCACATTCACATGTATCAGCACTCACATGATCTCCAGGGATGGACGACGAGCTGGTGTGTGAATATGACTCCACCTGGGACACGGAGAGCGACGGCGACGAGCTGGACAACACCGGCCGCAGCAAGAAAACACGGCCCGCGTTCGTATGTTATTCTCTCTCATTAATCCGCGAACCACTGCACTGCGGTCTTTCTGCGTTCTGTACAGATCGTGCGCTTTGATCTTGGACCAGTCGCCTGTATGCGCTTCATGTTGTTTGTGTTTGTGTGCGAGACGGACGGTCGCTAACGTTATAACTCCGCGCGCTGCTTCAGGAGGGAAGTGTGTAAATCAAGCCCTTTGAGGGGTTATTTCTCTGCATTTGGTTTACTTCTAATATCTGATCGTGTTTGATAGATTAGCACGTTAGCTAGTTATTTAATATCAGCTCTGCTGACCGGAAGTGCGTCACTCGTACTAGCCGACATTAGGCCACAGATGATAAGTTTGAAACGCCTTCAGTCTGCAACAATCTTTCACAGCATTTGCTCATGACCCGACCCTAACAATAGGCATGATGCCAAGTGCGTGGGATTTTGAGACCGGACCGTAGACTCTGAATCGGAGCATCTTGTTATATCGATGTAAATGTGATACACCACAATATTTCCTTTTCCAGTGATTTATATAGGATAAGATGGGGAAGAACAATGTGGCTTTCCCTTACAAATGTAGCACATACAAGTTAGCATGTGCGAGAGAATAGCTGCGTTCACACGCGCTGTATCTGGGTGCTATCCACACCAGTGAAATGACCCGGATGCTATCCGACCAGCGAGGCACTTTCCACAAGCTGGCCTTTTGGCGGATTGCCTTTAATATAAGCTGCTTTTAGACTAATGAGAAACTTACAGGATGCTTTTATAGCGCAATGACCTCTTGTGTGTCAAAACATCAAGGGGTTTCTCAGTTCGTGACCCCTTTAATGAAAGTGAAGATGTCTGAAACATGCAACAACACACCACTAGGGTCCTTCTGTGCCACTTCTCATCTTACTTCAAAATAAAAACTATAACTTTTACTCCACAAATCTAAAAACCCTCATTAACAAATCAACACAAAAAACTTTGATATTCAACAGTATAAAATGTCATAGATCACTATTTTCCAGAGACACACAATTAGATGAATTAACAGTTTTGACTGACTAAATCTCACAAATGTTGATGTGCAGTGCCATCTCTGGTCAGAAAGTTAAGGTGGACGGGTGGAGGAGGAGGTCTTCCCCTGACCTGCTGCAGTGCATTCACATCTGAACCTAAATAGCTCTGTGCTCTATCACAAAGCATGACTAGTTGAATGAAAAAGCATGACTAGTTTGTGAATTTGGACGCAGCCAATTAAAGCAGGAGGTTGAAGGTAATGTTTGGTTCTTTGCAGTGGTCCAACTCTTCCTCAAGAAACCTCAGAGCAGCCAAGGACATGCAGAACTACAGACACGGATATCCAGTAAGAGTCTGCTCTTCTCCTAAAATAAACCAAGAAGTGCACTCCTAACATGCTGATCTGATGATGCTTTACATCTACAGAGCATCAATGAAGAGGAATGTCCAGAAGAAAGAATGACGAATTTAAAATTCTATCTGAATGAAATTAAATCGTCACCTGATGGTACGTCTGTACTTTCTCTTGAGCTCCAGTAACAAGTGCCTAAGTTGAGGTGTATTGCACTGCTTTGGAGCTCTTGTTTAGTTTGCTTTGCTTTGGAGCTCCTGTCATGTTTTCTGTTCTGTAGATGTGTCGATTGAGACATTTCTCACCGAGTGGAAAACCGATTACAAGCGGCTGGAGAGAGTTCACTCCTACATTCAGTGGTAAGAAACCTCGTGCTTATGCGTTTGGGACTGTCAAAGTCTCCTTTTCACTCGGTTTTGTTGCAGATGCAATGCTTTGGGCACTGTGTTGTGTGTTGTTTGTAGGTTGTTTCCTCTGCGAGAGCCGGGGGTCAACTACATGGCTGCAGAGCTCACCAAGAAGGAAATCCAAGTAAGTCATAAAGAGGCCAAGCTCTGTTTCCGAGCCTCTAGACTGTGCTCTGGAAGCGTCTGGGACTGTGTGCACGGTGCTGAAGCTGGCTCTCGTCCTGTCGTCCACAGGCATTCAGGGAGAGCGATGAGGCTAAGAGCCGTCTTCTGGAGTCCTACGAGCTCATGCTGGGTTTCTACGGCATGCAGCTGCTGAACACAGAAACCGGGGAGGTGAAGCGCGCCGAGAACTGGAGGGAGAGATTCGCCAATCTAGAGAGGTGAGCTGCACCAGACTCCTGTTATTAATCATAAAACATGTATCCAAACACGCATGTTAAGTTTTCCTTCAAACTAAAGGATGGCTGTTTATTGCTCTTCTAATGTACAGAAGAAATCTACAGCTGTTTTCAGGCATTCAGCGAGTCCCTTCACCAGTACTGGGTCACTGGCTTTCTTTTAAGACTGTTTTGGACATGGATATAAATCATCTTTACCTGCAGCACAGAGTCATTTACAAGCTGCACTCACAGAAAAGAGCTGCTTCGTCATTGGTTGACAAACGATAGAAGCCAGTTTAGTTTCCATCCAGTGCTCCTTTTGTAAAATATCCCTTTTGCTATTGTGGTGTGAGAATCTGCTGCAAATGATGAGTAAACTGTCCGAACGACAACATGTGAATGTGATATTGCTGATTCTAAACAGCTGATAGAAAACACACATGACTTGATTGTTGAAATATTATCAGGGGAAATGATTCTCCAGTCGGTTCCATTGACACACAAGGATATATCTGTAATATTTGACAGGGCTCGGGCTCTAGTGACTCCCCAGATCTCAGGTGTAGAGGGCATTACAACCAAACACCTGTCATAGCAGTTTGATCAAGGAATAGTGCATTTGATTTGCACCCTGGACAAGTGTTAACACAGCCATGACAAATCAACAGAAGATCACATCAAATTTCGGCAGCTAATAACATATCAAATTGGCTGCAAGGTGGCGCTATAATGAGCTCATTTACTTTTTTTCCTCTGAATTATTCCGTGCCCCAGATGCACATTTTTTTTCTGTTTGTCCAATTTGCACAAAATGTAAAATCTTGAGACACTTATGACAAAGTGTTTTAGAATGAATTGATTAATTGGATTAATTTAATTAACACATACAGGCTGATATATTTTGGAGTGTGGCAGATATTGAGTGATTGTCCAAACTTCAGAAAACATGAAAAACAGGACATTCTGAAGAACATTTCATAAGCACAACCATTTATATCCACGTGAAGGACAGCCGAAGGTTGGAAAACTGAGCTTGTCCACTAGAAGAGAAGATCCTTTTTCAGTCTCATAGTTTAGCTTTGTTGTAAATGGTTTAATAGCTTCACATTCAATAATAAAAAAAAATACAAATAAAAAACTGCAAAGAAATTCATTTCTACAACCATGGTACACTTAAAACATTTACTGAGTTTAATATAATTAGTTTGAAAAACTGTAATGCTTAAATCGCTAAATAATTCCTTATTTCATTTTATATATATATGGGTCAAAGACGTTAAGATAGCTGCACCAAAAGAAACTTGCAAAAGTGATTTTATGTCCATAGAAAGCACATTAAATGTAAGTAAAGTGTCTACTTTTAAATAAGTTTTTGGAGAATAAAATGTCAAAATGTGGTTGAAATAATGTTACATTGTCATTCAATGTAACACAATATTTATGTAAAAATTCAAACTAGAGCCCGACCGATATGGGTTTTTTGGGGCCGATACCGATATTAGGGAGTAAAAAAAAAAAGCCGATACCGATATATCGTCCGATATTCTTTGTGTATATTATATGTAATATAGTGTATATACACTTTCCCATTCGTGTGTCCAAACATTTGACTGGTACTATATATAGAATACAGTATATACATAAACAGAATATATATACATAAACACATTTTTTGCAATGATCACTCAAATGTGGTGATCAAACACTTATAATGGTGACAGAGATATGTAAGGGCATTTAACCTCCGCGCGTCGGTAGCCCCCCGGGATCGCTTGATCGGTCGGCGCCGGACCGCGAATTTGACCAACCGTAACTCCCGAACCCCGGGGGCTATACACGCGAAAGTGTTCTCATTCGAAAGCGGCCTCTAGACGTACACTCGATTCGCGTTCGAGAGGGTTCCTCGAGCTGAAGGGATCCCCCGAATTTGGTGTGGATTCGCCGCGCCGTTACGGAGATATGGCCGTTCAAAGTTTCAGTGGTTTTCCATTGACTTAAGCTTTAAAGCGTTTCATCCAGGTTGCCAGTAGCAAACAATGGAGCGCGCTCTGCTGGACAAACTAAGTAATTACACCATTTCAAGCATTTTATCTGCATTATATGTTCTGTAAAAAAAATGTTCATATCGGCGGCATATTCGCCAATACCTATATATCGGCGACAGGCTCATATCGGCCGATAATATCGCCAAAACGATATATCGGTCGGGCTCTAATTCAAACAACATGCTTATTCATTATTGTACAAATTAAAATATATAAAAGAATAAGAGAGCATATTAAATTTGATTGTGTTTTAAATGAGTAAAAAAATATGGGCAAATGGGCAAATCCTAGGATAGTGGCAAATTAAAAAATGTAAAATTAACACTGATTAGTATTTGTGGTGAAAGTAATTAGTCTTTTAATATGTCATAAATTGATTTTTGTTGTAAATATGCCTGACAAGATTGTTACACTGAATGACATTTTAGTGGCTCTCTTCTGTAAATCAGGGGGTTACTTACTACAAAATAGTCAGAAGAACACGGACTGCAGGAAAGCAGGTTTGACGAATCAGTGGTCTGGCATCTGCAAGTTAGACTCCTAAAAACACCTTTGCTCGTGTGCAAACAAGTGCGCGCACAACCGCGGATGATTCATTGTCCACTCAAGTCGAGGCTGGGGTGTGCAATAATATGGTAAGTGTTGTTGTAATGATGTGCGATCGGACATTTTCAAGTAGGCTATATCACCAAATCACACAGAGTGCATGCATGTTGATTTATTATCAAAGTCAAAAGTCAAAGTCTGCTTTATTGTCAATTCTGCCACATGTACAGCACATACAGCACATACATTGAAATTGCGTTACTCTCAGACCCTTGGTGCATACAGATAACACTAACAGTAGAACATGTAGAACATAAGATACAGATTAAATATAAAATACAACTATACAAATAAGGTAAAATGTAAAAAAATAAATAAAGCAGCACAAGGCACATGGCAGATAGAGTGCAAACCAGTGTCTCGAACACCACCCTCCGCGCGTCGGTAGCCCCCCGGGATCGCTTGATCGGTCGGCGCCGGACCGCGAATTTGACCAACCGTAACTCCCGAACCCCGGGGGCTATACACGCGAAAGTGTTCTCATTCGAAAGCGGCCTCTAGACGTACACTCGATTCGCGTTCGAGAGGGTTCCTCGAGCTGAAGGGATCCCCCGAATTTGGTGTGGATTCGCCGCGCCGTTACGGAGATATGGCCGTTCAAAGTTTCAGTGGTTTTCCATTGACTTAAGCTTTAAAGCGTTTCATCCAGGTTGCCAGTAGCAAACAATGGAGCGCGCTCTGCTGGACAAACTAAGTAATTACACCATTTCAAGCATTTTATCTGCATTATATGTTCTGTAAAAAAAATGTTCATATCGGCGGCATATTCGCCAATACCTATATATCGGCGACAGGCTCATATCGGCCGATAATATCGCCAAAACGATATATCGGTCGGGCTCTAATTCAAACAACATGCTTATTCATTATTGTACAAATTAAAATATATAAAAGAATAAGAGAGCATATTAAATTTGATTGTGTTTTAAATGAGTAAAAAAATATGGGCAAATGGGCAAATCCTAGGATAGTGGCAAATTAAAAAATGTAAAATTAACACTGATTAGTATTTGTGGTGAAAGTAATTAGTCTTTTAATATGTCATAAATTGATTTTTGTTGTAAATATGCCTGACAAGATTGTTACACTGAATGACATTTTAGTGGCTCTCTTCTGTAAATCAGGGGAAAATGTACGATATTTATTTTTTGCTCAGAAAAACAAAAACAAAATTGCAATTCAATTAAACAAAACTTTTTAATTTTTTGGGGGAAAAACAACAATTTAAAGCAGTATTACACTTATTGGGCCTCATTCATGAAACACGAGCAGAACAAATAGTGTGAATCGTTCGTAAAGCTGTTCTGACATAAATTTTTGGATTCATGAAAGTGTTTGTATTTTCAAAATGTTAGCTGGTACGAGAGAAATGTACACCTGCTCCCTGCCACGTGTAAATGGTGCGTAAAACGTTCTGTGCTCTCTTTGGCAAACTGATGACACTGAATTTTGATGCACTGCAATCATAAGTCAAGTCAAGTCAAGTCAAGTCTGCTTTATTGTCAATTCTTCCACATGTACAGCACATACACACAGAGAATTGAAATTGCGTTACTCTCAGACCCTTGGTGCATACAGATAACACTAACAGTAGAACATAAATACAGATATACAGATTAAATATAAAATACAACTATACAAATAAAGTAAAATGTAAAAAAAAAAAATATATATAAAGCAGCACACGGCAGCTAGAGTGCAAACCAGTGAAGTAAACAACAGTGCAGATATAATGATTTGTAGTGCAAAAAGAGCTTATTTAGACTGATTAAAGTGACTGTGTGTGTGTATTTGGGAGGGGGGAGTGGGAGAAGAGAAAAAGAGCTTATTTAGACTGATTTAAAGTGACAGTGTGTGTGTATTTGGGAGGGGTCTAATAGTAAGTAATATCTTACAAGTTCGTTTGCTCTGTTTTTGTTTGTGTTTTTTTGTAGCTGAGGGTTGATAAACTGTTTAGCTTTGGGTAAAACGCACTTTTTACCCAGCCGTCCAATCAGTGGAGGAGGGGCGGGACAAATACTACACCGACCAATCATCCTGCTTGTACAACAACGCCTGACAGTTTTTCAGCCGGCTAAAAACACTTTGGTGGACACGTTATTGTATATTTATTGTTAGGCATATGGCTTATTAGTCTTTTTTGCATTTATGCAATATACTGGAGCCAAACCTGAGAAAGTAGACCAGAATATTCCACTGCGTTCCTGGACACGCAGTTTGCGTAGCTGTAATTCATAGGCTTCTATCATCTAATATCATTATGCTAATCGTGAATGAGCGTGCACAAGCGCCCTGTTTACGAATGATTGGAATTCATTAACAAACGCATGTTTAACTATCAAATCGGAA